CATGGACCAGTGTCCATAGGACCTGTCTAACATGGACCAGTGTCCATAGGACCTGTCTAACATGGACCAGTGTCAATAGGACCTGTCTAACATGGACCAGTGTCAATAGGACCTGTCTAACATGGACCAGTGTCCATAGGACCTGTCTAACATGGACCAGTGTCACTAGGACCTGTCTAACATGGACCAGTGTCCATAGGACCTGTCTAACATGGACCAGTGTCCATAGGACCTGTCTAACATGGACCAGTGTCAGTAGGACCTGTCTAACATGGACCAGTGTCCATAGGACCTGTCTAACATGGACCAGTGTCCATAGGACCTGTCTAACATGGACCAGTGTCACTAGGACCTGTCTAACATGGACCAGTGTCCATAGGACTTGTCTAACATGGACCAGTGTCCATAGGACTTGTCTAACATGGACCAGTGTCACTAGGACCTGTCTAACATGGACCAGTGTCACTAGGACCTGTCTAACATGGACCAGTGTCCATAGGACCTGTCTAACATGGACCAGTGTTAATAGGACCTGTCTAACATGGACCAGTGTCCATAGGACCTGTCTAACATGGACCAGTGTCCATAGGACCTGTCTAACATGGACCAGTGTCCATAGGACCTGTCTAACATGGACCAGTGTCCATAGGACCTGTCTAACATGGACCAGTGTCAATAGGACCTGTCTAACATGGACCAGTGTCAATAGGACCTGTCTAACATGGACCAGTGTTAATAGGACCTGTCTAACATGGACCAGTGTCCATAGGACCTGTCTAACATGGACCAGTGTCAATAGGACCTGTCTAACATGGACCAGTGTCCATAGGACCTGTCTAACATGGACCAGTGTCAATAGGACCTGTCTAACATGGACCAGTGTTAATAGGACCTGTCTAACATGGACCAGTGTTAATAGGACCTGTCTAACATGGACCAGTGTCACTAGGACCTGTCTAACATGGACCAGTGTTAATAGGACCTGTCTAACATGGACCAGTGTCCATAGGACCTGTCTAACATGGACCAGTGTCAATAGGACCTGTCTAACATGGACCAGTGTCCATAGGACCTGTCTAACATGGACCAGTGTCAATAGGACCTGTCTAACATGGACCAGTGTCAATAGGACCTGTCTAACATGGACCAGTGTCCATAGGACCTGTCTGACATGGACCAGTGTCACTAGGACCTGTCTAACATGGACCAGTGTCCATAGGACCTGTCTGACATGGACCAGTGTCACTAGGACCTGTCTAACATGGACCAGTGTTAATAGGACCTGTCTAACATGGACCAGTGTCACTAGGACCTGTCTAACATGGACCAGTGTCCATAGGACCTGTCTAACATGGACCAGTGTCAATAGGACCTGTCTAACATGGACCAGTGTCAATAGGACCTGTCTAACATGGACCAGTGTCAATAGGACCTGTCTAACATGGACCAGTGTTAATAGGACCTGTCTAACATGGACCAGTGTCACTAGGACCTGTCTAACATGGACCAGTGTCACTAGGACCTGTCTAACATGGACCAGTGTCCATAGGACCTGTCTGACATGGACCAGTGTCCATAGGACCTGTCTAACATGGACCAGTGTCAATAGGACCTGTCTAACATGGACCAGTGTCAATAGGACCTGTCTAACATGGACCAGTGTCCATAGGACCTGTCTGACATGGACCAGTGTCACTAGGACCTGTCTAACATGGACCAGTGTCCATAGGACCTGTCTGACATGGACCAGTGTCACTAGGACCTGTCTAACATGGACCAGTGTTAATAGGACCTGTCTAACATGGACCAGTGTAATAGGACCTGTCATAACATGGACCAGTGTCACTAGGAC